TAGCATATGATTCTGAGACCCTCTGATATCTGTCCACTGAAGAAGGAGAAAGATGAGACATTCTTGTTCCAAGAGAGAGGAGGTCATAACTAGGTGGCTCTTTAATAAGGATATAATGCTTATAAAATTATTTTTCCTTGTTTTGAAATATACAATAAATTATTAACTATACTCTATTGTGCTGCTGAACACTAGAGCCTATTCTTCCTAACTGCATTTTTATACCCATTAACCATCCATGAGTTCAAAAATTGATATGTTCCTAACACAAAGAAAGATAAAATGTTTGAGGTAATAGATATCCCAAGTACCCTGATTTGATCATTACGTTTTGTATGTTTCTATCAAATTATAACATATACCCCGTAAATATGTGCAATCTTTCTGTATCCATAATAATTAAAAATTAAAAAATAAATTTGTTTTTTCCCTAGAGTTGCTGTGGTTCCGTAGCTTTGCTGCTTGCATTGGGAATACAAAATTTAAGTTTCTTAGTGCTGATTGAAGCTACCTTGTAACTTCTCAAAGCAGTAATATATGATTGTAGAAGGATGAAAAACTGTAAGTTGCCAGTATTTATGAGGAAATTAGGTATCCTTTGAATTAGAAGTTTTTGAGGGGAATCTGTCATCTCTTCCTTCTTTCCTCCATGCATATTTATTAGTTGCTGTGTCTGTGTCTGAATTGTTTTGTACCAAATTTGTTCAAAATGTAGTGGGTTAAGGCAATATTGACTTACTGTCTCTGTTTATTCTGTAGTTTGACAGTCGGGACAGTTTTTCTGCTTGTCTTGTTCATGAAGTGGGGGTCATTCAGTACTAGATTAGAGTTTGGGGATTTGAGTTATTCTGACAGATCTGTGTACAGTTCAGGTGTGATAGCTGGAGTTTCTTGGTCTTTTCCACATGGCCTTTCATCTTCCAATAGATTATGACTCTTCACATCGTGATGGCTTAGGGTCCCAAAATGAAAAGAACAGAATTTGCAATACCTATTAAGCCCTATGCCCAAGAACTCATACAGTGATACTTCTGCCACCTTATATTAATCAAAGCAAGTCACAAGCCAGCCAGATTCAAAAGAATGGAGAAATAGACTCAATTTCTTGGTAAGAAGTGGCAAGATCACCTTGCAAAGGAGACTTCACATGGAAAGGAGTTATTAATTTATGGCCTTTATAATGATCTTCCATAAATGCCTGTAAGTTGGGCACTGTGCTTAGTACTGGTGATAGAAGATAAGTAGCTTATTTCAGTATCTTAATTTTGTTTCATATATTTGATAATTTATGATGCAAGGTTCCTTTGCACTGGTATCAATCCCAGGGGAGGACTGTGAACTCCTTGCCAATACTGTGTACCAGTATCAGTTCACTGGCATGAGTCTGGTGAGACATAAAACTCATGCAAGTTTAGCAAAGCACTTTATTACTCACAGATATGCAGCAAGGGACAATAGACACCTAAGGATTCATGCCAAACTGATCTGCCAATGCTTAGGATAGCTGCCCAGGATGGATGGAGTCTCACGTGCATGTCCTTCATGCTGCACCACAGCTGAGGAACCCTGAAGGCCTGCTCTGCCCTGGATTTTATTCCTTGGAGCAACTTGATGAGCTGTGCTAAAGCATTGGCTTTAAAGCAAAGCTTGGCTTTACTGGCCAATTTCTTCATATTTCTGGCATTTCCAGCACATCATTCTACAGTATTCTGAGAATTACAAGTGAGAAAATGAGGAAGAGTTGGGTTGCCAAGATCTTTCAGGGACTTGCCCTACAATAACATCATATAAAATGTATTTTTTCCCAAGTGTTCTTTACATTCTCAGTTTTAATTGTTCATTGCATAATTTTGAGTGGGTTATTGCTATTTAGCAGAAGTGGAAAACCTTAAATATTCTTGAGTGTGTTGGCATACAGATATTTGCATAATCTACATAAAGATTATCTGTAAAGTGCAATATAAAGAGAAATTGTGGGTGTATGTAAAATTTGTAAATGATTACATATTTATGTCATTAATTCCATAAATATTTGAATGCCTCTGTGCCAAGCATTGTTCATGTAGCACTGAATAAGAGAGAAACATTCCTTATTCTCAGAGAACTTCAATTTTAGTGGCAAGAGATGTAACATAACAGATTTCTGTTAGATGTGATGAAAGTGTTTTCAGAAAAACTAAATATAAAAGAGGATAGAGAGTCATGGGTCTGGAGTGTGCACTCAAAACATTTTATGTTGTCTAATTCTCTTATACCAGTAATTCTCAATTTTTCCCAACTAGTTTGCTAAAAGGATGGATACATTCCCATCAATAGCAGTAGTACCTTAAGACTATGATTCTCTGTCAGGTAAGGCAGAGATGAGAGGCAAATGAGAATAGGAATGGGAGTGGGAGATACAAGTACAGTTTACCCTTAAACGTGTGGGTTAGACAGAGTGACCCCGCACGTTGTTAAAAAAATCCACATGTAAGTTTTGACTCTACCAGAACTTAAGTACAAATAGCCTTTTGACTGAATGCCTTACTGATAACACAGTCAATTAACACATATTTTTTATGACACATGTATTATATTCTGTAATTACAATAAAGTGAGCTAGATAAGTAATGTTATTAAGAAAGTCATAAGGAAGAGAAAATCTATTTTCATTAAATAGAAGTGGGTCATCATAAAGATCTTTATCCTCGTAGTCATATTGAGTAGGCTGAGGAGGAAATGGAAGAGCAGAGGTTGAACTTGCTGTCTCAGGTGACAAGGTGGGAGATAATCTATGTATAAGTAAACATGTGCAGTTTAAACTCTTGTTGGTGTTAATTGCATGTGTTTGTCTTTTTTAAATGTTCTCCCAAGTGATTCTAACATCCCCCTGAGGAGCTATGCCTATCTATTGAGAATCTGTCTCAAGTTATTCTTTAGAGACAGTGACCATTAAGTATGCTTGTGTGAAATCATATTAGCTATCTGGGCATTTAGTAATATCAAATTATAGCCTTATATTTAATGAATGGCATCTTGTATGTTCAAAATATAATGTAAATCTAGTCAATATGTAATTCTCATAAAAATAGAAGTATTTATGTTACATTTTTAACATATGCCTTTTTGTAGGGGAAAGAAGAAGTAGAAAAACGAAAGTTTTGTTTTTTTTTTTAACCTGTTGATTTGGTAGTTTGGTCTGCAAATCCAAACTTACTAAACTACAATTAAAATTTTATATCAATACATTTTCAAAAGAGGAAAGTAAATATGAATTTAAGAAACATTTTTATTACTGAAGAGCTAATACCTTTCCAGAACTGATAATGTAAATTGGTTATGCAAAATTACATTTCTTTTATGAACTGTAACAAGATATGCGGCCTTATAGTTTCAATTTACTTAGCCACCAACTGATTGGTCTTTTGAATAGATATGCAAAGTGTAGTTTTAAATTGAGCTTTTATGAAATAGAAAACTCTTAAAAATTTTCAACATTGTCAGATTACTATAGTTATGAATAACCCAGTTTCTACATGCTGTCTTTCATATATAATGTGGGCCTGAGAAATAAGCAAATTAAATTTTAGTGTGGGTAGCAATGTTTACTTGTCTGCAAATCTGAAGCTAATTTTTACATGTTTTTATTTAGAAATAGAACAGGCCAAAAGAACAGTCACTCTGGCCATATGCATATCATTACAGCTCTTGGTAGAAAGTTTAGGGAGGAAAGACGAGAATACAAAGAATAATGCACAACGAAAGTTCTCCTTTCCTCCAATTTGTACCTTATCCTCCATCATGCACAACTGCCCCTGTGCAAACCTGAATTAAGCAAAGACACATAGCATCTTCCAGGGAGTTTGCTGAGCCCTAGATTAAAGTGATTTTCTAACCCCTTGAGATATACCAAATGATAATGGCTGCAGTACAACCAACAAGAATTTTAGCCAGGAAGCTGGAACATCTTTGAAATTATTATATTGGCCAGGCGTGGTGACTCACGCCTGTAATCCCAGCACTTGGGAGGCCAAGGCAGGTGGATCACAAGGTCAGGAGTTCGAGACCAGCCTGACCAACATGTTGAAAGCCGTCTCTACTAAAAATACAAAAATTAGCTGGGCGTGGTGGCACACACCTGTAATCCCAGCTATTCAGGAGGCTGAGACAGGAGAATTGCTTGAACCTGGGAGGCAGAGGTTCCAGTGAGCCAAGATCATGCCACTGCACTGCAGCCTGGGCAACAGAGTGAGACTCTGTCTCAAAAAAAACCCAAAACAAAACATAAAACTATTATGTGTATTCATACAGGTCGCTTCCTTTTGAATAAAATATGGTGACTTCTCTTGCTTGATGAGGTAATCTCTAGGAGTACATTTAATATTTGCCTTTTATAGAACAAAATTAAAGATACTAAAATTCTGATCATAAACGTTTTGGACAACTCTGTTTTAGTCAACTGTACCCCCTTATTGCAAGAACAGATATTAATTTGTGGCATTTGGTATATTTTAATCATTGAGAAATAAAACTCTAATCAGGTATTTCACAGCACTGACTATTTTTTTTGTCTTCTTTGCCACTACTTTCCAGTATTTGCTTTTGGCAATACTGTAGTTGTCCTGCGTCTAGACAACCAGCAAGTGAATAGCATTTTTGGTTTAGCAAATTTTTTGGGGGGTCCCCAAAAAGGAGACCAGTTTTGTTGAAACTTGACTGTATTGGATCCTCTGTTCATGGTATGACAGAAAAAGATCAGATATTTTTCATTTTAATTGTAAAATTCAAGAAAAATAAAGCAGTAGTCATGACAAAGATTTTACAAAATAGTCATTAACCAAATTCTGATTCCTTGATAGACTAGAGAGAGTGTGTAAACACCCCCCAGATATTTCACAGTGATTAAAAGCCTTCAATATTAGTCATTTACCCTTATGTCCAAATACATCATGGTACTGACTTTAAAACAAGATGTTTGACTAAGTATTTTCTCTTTTTATAAAACAAATATGTTTGAACAGAAACCAAGCTCACGGAAAATGTACTTATCTGGGTATGGTGTGGAGCTAGCAATTAAGAGTACAGAATACAAAGCATTGGATGATACCCAAGTTAAAAGTAAGTTTTCTGTCTCAGTACTTGAGTAGAATGAAAAGTTGGAGTCTTTTACATACTTTGGTTTTTAAAAAATTTAATGAGTATAATCCTGCATATGTTCATCTGAGGCTAGAGATGGGGTGGACATGTTCTTACTTAATTTGGAATTAAATTTTTTTTTTTTTTTTTT